TTTAAAACACCCTACAATTTTTTAACCACAGTGCTTTTAAAGATTATATACATTTATATTAACTACAAAAATATCTATATAAAAAAATCAATGCAACTACTATCTTAGTTGTTTCACACTTTTTGCTTCATTAGATCTTTTACATATACATTTCTATAAAGGTTCTCAAGGCTCAAAAGGTTAAAATTTTCTTTCTTGGTAGTAGACCTAAACTAGGAATTTCGGGTTAGAGAAGAAGAATAGAAAAAATACATCGATTACAGTCTGAAAAATGATTGGATATTACTTCATATCCTCAGACAATCTTTGCATTTCCCCAAAACTAGAGCGTCCACATCCCTAACTAATGTAATATGTAAGGTATTACTCCCTTCAGCCTCTCTTTAGTCCTATTACTACTTCTTATATTTCTCTAACTATAGCTTTTGATATCGCAGAAGTTTTCCTACCAGCCTATTTCTTGTTTTACTTATTGACTTCTGCTCTGTTTTCCTACCGTTTCAGCGGAGAGTTGTGTGCTCCAAGCACACTTCTAACAATTTTTTTCCAATTCCTAGATTAACAGTTAGTGAGTACAGAAGTGAGCCTTTCTTGATCCTGAGTGATCGTTTGTTTGTTTATACTTATGTGACTTCCCAGGTATTGAAAATCGGTAAATAACATAAAACAAAATCTAGCCAAATTAAATGCAATTTGTGTGTTTTCTCAAAATTCTGTTCTATAATAACCTTTCCCTGTACATTCGCGATTGTATCTATGAACCATCAAAGCAATCGAACAGTTGTCATACCTTTTTTTAATGAATCTAATGCAAATTATCATTAGACTTTAACCTATTTAAGAATTTTATCGCCGCACTGTGGTTTCTTTAGAAATTTATAACAATAATATTGTTTCAAATATTATTGTATATTTCTTAAGAAATCATAGTATGGTGAAACACACAATAGATACAATAAAATCTGGCTGGACAGTAGTACCTATCATTTTTATGAAGTTAAATGAATGAATTTCATATTTTGTTTATTTATTTGTTAATGTTTTTAGTAATGATTTAGAACAATTTCAGTTTAATTTAATGCATATAAGCAGTAATTGGTAAGTGGGAACTCCTACAATTTTCGAATTAGAAATTATACCTACCTATTTGAATTATTGTTTGCTTTAGTCAAAATTTCCATCAAATTAAAACAAAAAAAAAATCCTTTTAAGTTTTGGAAAACTATTTTAAATTTTATAATTTAATGAAAAATATGTCATGATGATGATCATCATCATCATCATCATCGTAGGATCATCAGTATTAAGACTGGTTGGACACACACCTCGACTTTCCTACCGTGAACTGATCTTCGCATTTCCCCAAAACTAGAGTGAACGAAAGGATTTGTGAACAGAATGTGGACCCCCATAAAAATTGTTTTAGGCTCTTAAACGGGTAGAACTACTCTATAAGAATTTATTAGATTAGTTTTCATTATTTCCTTAAATGTATATCCAGAAAACCCATTAAACATAGGTAGCTATTTTGATTTGAGAAAAAGTGATTGAAGTTTTGATATGAAAATTTTTGCTATAAATGTATTTTTTATATTTGTCATCAATACTGGCTCGAGTTTGTCATTATATGAATAGTAACTACTGGTAATGTACAAATACATTACAAAGATCTTGAATAAACACTTTCTTACATCAATGCGTAGTTACCGCGATCTAATGCAATATTTTTCATGTATGAATCACCCTTGTTTATTATTTTATCGAAATTAGAATGCTCAATAAATAATTTTTCAAGTTTTATTACGTCTCTATTTAATTAACAGTCAGTTATGCAATACATAAAAAAATCGTAAAATTGTGGTTGTTTTGGGGATGATAAAAATGATTACTCACCGCCCTCGACGAGGCGCAAGCCAATGTAGCTGCAACGAAAGCTACAACACATCCGATACGTGAAATCATCGTGAACTTTTCGTAGTAAAGCGTCGTCAGCGTCGCGTGCTAGACTGCCCGTTGGCTGCCTGTGGCCGATCCAAAGCTCCCGAACCGACGCCTCGGCGTCGCACTGCATAGCTCCCTGGATCGACCGTTGATGGCGCCAGCTCCTATTTTCATCCTGCAGGAATCTTGTTGTCGACCTCTACAGCAGCTATTTTTGTTATTTCATTTTGTTGTTTTCACAAATTGTTCGATTTTTCTCCGTCCAGGACTCTTCTCATAGCGATTCGTATCGAATTGGAAAAGCAGTTGTCATGCCAATTCAGCTCTTTCTCATTTTCTCATTCATTCGCAGAAAACAGAAGAAGAAAATTAATATCAGAAAATTTTATTAGTGATAACAAATAAATATCGCAATGGGTTTTTGTTGTTTTCTAAATCACAGAGTACAATTTAACTTTTTTTGACACAAGAAAATATTCGATCATTTTTATGTTTTTAGAGCGGTAGTCGGTAAATCGTTTTGGTTCCTTGAGGACGTCTCTGTTATAAAATTGCCATGTAGTGACGATTAAATATCGCGTACACGTCATAAAATAACGCACTTAATGACTAGCTTCTCTATCTAAAATTTGTCGACCTCTGCCCCAGGCAATATGTAAATGTCGTAACCGCCGATGACAGTCTTGTAAAAGAAAAGAAGCAGGAAAAAATTATCCCGTGTTTTCCTACCGTTAGGGTTAGATTTTTTTCCAAATTTATATGGGACCAACTTCGGTGTTTACCCTTTCCAATAAAAAAAAATATCAAAATCGGACTATTCTGTCAAAACTTATGGTCATACATTACAATCATAGTTAGTGAACAGCAATCAACAATCATCCCCTGTTTTCCTACCCTTAGGGTTGGAATTTTTTTTTTCAAATTTATATGGGACCAACATCGTGGTATACCCTTTCCAATAAAAAAGAATTATCAAAATCGGACTACTCTGTAAAAAGTTATGCGCGGTCATACATAAAAAAATATACCCGTCGTTTTGAGAACCTCTTCCTTTTTTTCGTCGGTAAAAAATAACTTTTTTCATATTTTTAAGGCATTATGATGAAGCCCTCTACTAAAGTATAACCACATAAATGTAAAGGTTATATAATTGAAAATAATATGTACACTCTAAAAGTATTTTAAATTAAATTCCATTAAACCTTAACCTAAAGCGATTTTGATGGCATAAAATGTATATATAATATTGTTAACAGAAAATTTCACCTTTATGTAAAATTAATTTCATGTAGAATAAATGTAACAATGAAATCAATAACTTCAATGGATATAATTCGATGCACCATAAACAAAGTTAACGGTAATTTCACAATGTATATATACGTATAAATGCTTTTACTGCATATACAGCTACGCATAAATAAATAATCACTTTTTTTGAATGAACAAAACCTATTATCACAGGCTGATAATTTCAAACAATACAGGTATACTTCATTTACTTTCTCTAGCGATGTACCCCTTCCAATGTCTTGGATGCGCGCTGGCAAAATCATAAGTAGGGAGAGAAAAGCTCATTATACTCTTTACTTTTGCTCATTAAACACTCTTTTTCATACAGTACCTGCCAAAAGTTTTATTCAATCATGAATAGTAGTACGAGTCGGAAACAAGCGTTAAATCTTTAGTATGTCTTCAAATATAAATAAACATCTCCTTGGTATTTTCAGTAGTAATTGGTACCAATAACAGCACATTTGAGCAATGCAATTTTAGTGGATAAAATGGTCAATTTTTCCGTGCAGTACTGTGCGGATTATAGGCTCCTCACCGGTTAAGAGTTTGGCCAAGAGTTGTCTCCTATCTTTTCTGGCCTAGTGCTGTTCTTTTCTACTTTGCGCCGGTCAAACTGAAGGTCACATCGCTACAGAAACTAAACGAAGTATAGGTGCTATTTCACACAATTCGAGAAAAAAAGAATACTTCGCATGACGTAATAGAAATCATCAAGTTGAGTATAATATACTACATTGTTTTTGGAACATAAACTAGCATTTGTTATATTTCTAAACCAATTATTATGCTATCTACATCTGTAGATTCTAAAACATTTTTCGCTATTCAAATATCATATTCCTTTGAAATAGAAGATGTTTACAAACACAACGAATACGAGCCTCAAAGCTATTTTCTATGCAAATCGTACTAAAAGTTAATGCCGGAATTTCTAATGCAGTTTTATACGTTCATTAATCACCGCAAAATGGAAATGAGCTTCTCATTAATTATTTTGAGTTTAAACGCTGCTTTTTATAAAGGGCAAAGGATGTACTGTATAGCTAATGCATCTGTTGCACTATAAATGGCTTTTTATCATCAACTCTATTCAGAACACAAACTTTTAAAGGCTAAATATAGAGCAATTCATACTAGAAAAATATACAATAAACATTTTTTACAAAGTACCAAATTGGTACAAAATGCAACAAATAAAAATAATACAAAATAATCGATTTTTACTAGAAAACTGGTAGAGATAAATATGTAAAACCTTATATCAGGGCCCTTAATTTCGCATTGGACGGTACAATTTAATAAGGGTCGTTCCATTTGAAAAAAAAAGTTATTCGTCTTGTAAGATTGTCAACAATTGAATATCTCAAAATTTACTACAGATAGGTGTAGGCAACTGTTAATAAAGTCGATTTAAAATTAAATAAAAAAAGTTAAGTAGCGTCCAAAAGAAATGGAGCACTCTGTATGACTAAAGATATTTTCAGCGAATGTATCATACGATTCCAGACCAATTTTGTAAGTCCGAGTAAAATAAAAAAGAATGTACAAGCAATAATAATAACACAAATCACAAAAAAAGGACACAAAGTAGAGGAAATGGACTAATTCACGTAAGAGTCAGTTAATATATATTCTATACATTTTATTTTCACCTCTAAAATATTAAATTGTGATTAAAAAGGTTGTCATAAATACATTCCAATTTAGGAGAACCTTCTCAACCATTACCTAACCTTGAAGAAGTAAAGAACATGTCCAAACCTGTATTAACAAGCTGTTATGCGAATTATCCTATTTCTATTTATTAACCTTAATAATCCCGTAGCACATGTAAAGGGATTTGATAAACAACTGTCCCTTTCTTTTTAATTTGCTGTTATTAAGTCATTTAAACAGCAGTGCTTTCTTGGAAGACAAATCAACCTGAAATTGATATACTTAGTGTATTCTTATCACTTACATTTTTATTCTATATCTTGCCAGAAAGCAAATACCTACCGATTGGAAATTAGTTAGTGGATTGAATCCGATGCGGATCAGAATTGCCTGAAGATTGATCAGAAATAAATCAGGCTTTCTGATCCGGGTATGATGGAAAATAGTCACGTCATATATAATCAACATAGGATCCATTTGAAAAATCCCTGTCGGATCTGTTTCTAAGATCCATGACGGATCCGTTTCAAAGATCCATACTGGACCCATTCAACAGATCCATTCCCATCAAAATAATAATTTGAATAAACAAACTATTTGCTAATTAGTCATAACATTACTAATAATTATTATTAATGTATTATTAATTTATTGTTAATTGTTCTTATTAATTAACAATAAATTTGTTCATTGTTTGACGAACAATATTGCATACAGAATAAATCAGGTAAAAAATAAAGTTCTGTATTATGATCCAGTTCAGAACATCGGATACAATCTTGATTTAAAGATTGTACCGAAACCGTAATAGAATTTGTAGCATTAGATTGTGATAAGAAATTGGTCAGATGACTGGATTAAGGGATAGGATACTCTACTATGATCAATTTCTGATCAGATGGTTGGATCAACAGATAGAGTACTGTGCGCTGATTAATTTCTGATCGGATGACCAGATCAAGGAATGGAGTACTGAACTCTGATCAGAAACTAATCAGATGCCCGTATTACGGAAAATCTGATCCGCATCTGATCATAATTCGGGTTCTCTGAACTAATTTCCAGTCGGGTAACAGAGATTTCAAATAAAGCAGAAGTTAAATGAAATTCTTGTATGTCCCTAAGTTATTTTCATACAATCGCACTTCCCGTTTCATGGATTCGACAATAATAAAAGATAAAAGTACTATTTTCTTATTCTAACGGAGGCTGTCTGAAAAAAAAGGCGAATCTAATTTAAATACAAAAATGTAATTAAGCGGCAAAAGAAGTAATAGCCCTGTTTTATTCAAATACTTAATTGGATTACTTTAAAAGGCTGGCGTTTAATTTGACTAAATAAGCAAGGCAAGATATGGCTTCAAATATTCCAGAATTGCCCTTAAAAGTATTTTTAGCAGCAAAAGTTCAGAACTTGCCTCGTAAATGTATATTTATAATTGTTCATTTAATTGAAGGTCATTTAGGAAATCGTAGTAATTTTTTTTTTATTTTAAAAATTGCATTATATAATTTGTTTATTTTTATCTTTACTGTCGTGCTATACAAATTATTTTTTTCAAGTTATAATCACACACCCATCACAAGGACGTAGATGCGGGTGGACTCGGGTGGGCTATGGCTCATTCATTGGTAGCAATGGCTTATATGCTGATTCACCCTGATTGTTAACTTAACCCCATACAGCGATAAAATGTAAAATTTAAAAGCGCTTACTTAACCCAAGATATTTTACTTAATGCAAAAATCATGCGGCTTTTTTGTTTGATGATGCAAAAATGTCCAAAACCCAGAACTTTTGCGACTTTTCTCTCCATGAAGATGATTTGTTTACTTACCCAAGAAAATTTCTCATCGTGACCGAAGGAGTGAAAATAAATAGCTTACACACCAGAGCAGAAAATAAACATGCGATCTGAGACATTCTTTACTTTTCCTGTCTAGGTGCATAATACGTATATCTACTAATATGTATTATCACGAAAAAGAAGGTGTTTTTTTAAAAAAAAAAAGCTGGGTGTTTTCCCACCTGCTGCTAATGTTGATGAGCAAATAGTCCCTCTATAGTACGCTGGACAGTAAGGCGGAAGGTTTTCTTCATTCCCCTTATAGGAATCGTGGGAATGCGGTGGTGGCTGGAATAAGAATGTGGAAAATTATTAGATACAGCCCCAGCATTTGTCTAAGTGATTACAGGATGCTTGAGACACAGCAAGCACACCCGGAATCGAATTGAATGATAAGCAATGGTATGTACCTCTAAATTGTAGATATATTAATAATTATGGTTTTACATTGCCATTTACACGGAACTCAAGGCCGCTTGGGTTATACATATAAAATTTAAAATGTATAAGGGTGTGATCCACTCTGTGTTGTACGTGAATACGTGTACGTAAAGGGAAATATTTTCTATATAAAATATAAAATACGCTATTTTATGTATGTCATAATCATGCATGAACACTAAGAAGT